TAGGAGTTACTATAGAGAACTTTCTGGGTGTCTGGCTGATGAGTCTTGCCCACATGCTCAGGGTTTAGCTGATCGCCATATTTGGGGTCGGGAAGGAATTTTCCTCCAGGGTAGATTGGCAGAGGCCCTGGAGGTTTTTCACCTTCCTCTGTAGCATGGGGTACAGATCACAGCTGGAGGATTCTCTGCATGTTGGGGTCTTCAAAGTATTTGAAGGCTTCAATATCTGAGATATAGGTGAGAGGATTATTCTAGGAGGGGTGGGTGAGATTTTGTGGCCTGCACTGTGCAGGGGGTCAGACTAGATGATCATGATGGTCCCTTCTGACCTTAAAGTCTATGAGTCTATGAGTCTATGAACAGTCCAGAGTCTGGATCAACCTAGTGATCAGCCAGATCTATCACAGAGGGGGAGCCGGGCTCTGTCAGTCGCGATCCGATGCTCTCCTGGAGTTGGTGTCAAGATGAACCTAAAGTTCCATAGCAAAGCACCCTGCTTTTATAATCCTTTTTCCTTTTTAAGTCTATGGATTTCACTGTACCAGTCTGTTTCCAGTGTGTTATCTTTATCAGTTATGTCTTATGACCAGTACCTAGCAATATGCCGCCCACTACATTACGTGGTCCTCATAAGGGGCAGGGCCTGGCTGCAGCTGGCAGGTGGGTCATGACTAGGGGGCTTAGTTAGTGGCATAAGAACTTTGTCGGTATCCCAGTTAACTTCCTGTGGCCCCAACTCTATCGACCATTTCTTTTGTGATCTTGTTCCTCTGATACGTACCTCCTGCAATGACCCTCAGATGATGGAAACTCTGGCTTTCGCATTCATCTTAATTGTCTTGCTGGTCTTGTTTTTTAAGTCTATGGATTTCACTGTACCAGTCTGTTTCCAGTGTGTTATCTTTATCAGTTATGTCTTATGACCAGTACCTAGCAATATGCCGCCCACTACATTACGTGGTCCTCATAAGGGGCAGGGCCTGGCTGCAGCTGGCAGGTGGGTCATGACTAGGGGGCTTAGTTAGTGGCATAAGAACTTTGTCGGTATCCCAGTTAACTTCCTGTGGCCCCAACTCTATCGACCATTTCTTTTGTGATCTTGTTCCTCTGATACGTACCTCCTGCAATGACCCTCAGATGATGGAAACTCTGGCTTTCGCATTCATCTTAATTGTCTTGCTGGTCTTGTTCCTGCTCACCGTGATGTCCTATGTCTTCATCATCACCACCATCCTGAGGATCCCTTCCACCAGCGGGCAGCAAAAGCCCTTTTCCACCTATGCCTCTGTGATGGCGCGTTGGGGGTCCCCCGTCTCCTGCACCCCGAAATGGCACAAACAGACTGCACCAGCCAGTGGAATAGAGGAAGTTTATTGCCTCTCCAGGATACAGCACAGCACAGATGGAATCTGGTCACAGAGCTGGGCTAGGATGCCTCAGGCCCCCTTGAGATGGGGGAGACTGGGCCCCTAAACTCCAGCCCCTTTCCCTAGGCTGTCTCCTCCATGCTCCCAGACAGCAACTAACTAACCCTCTTCCACCCTGCCCCCCCAGCCAGGGCAGCATTCCCCCTTCCTTTGTTCCTCTCCATGGGGGGTGTCTGGTTCAACAAGTTTGGCATCACCTTTGCATAGTGAGGTTTTCCCTGCTGGGTCTTGCTCCAGACAGCAGGGGTCACCACAGCCCAGCAAGTACCCCCACTACGTCACAGCCTCCCACCTCATCGTGGTGAGCATCTACTGCAAAATGCTGCTCATTGTCTACATGTTCCCAGCCAGTGACCAACTGGGGGACATGAAAAAAGTTCTCTCTGTTGCCTACACAGTCCTGACCCCGCTGGCCAATCCCCTCATCTATAGCCTGAGAAACAAAGAGATGAAGGAATCCCTGAGAAAAGCTAGGAAGAAATTCTTATTTGAATGATTCCAAAATCAAATTGAGAGGAGAGGAGAGGAGAGATCACATGGGCTGAAATAGGGCATAAACCAAAGTGCATTCAAGTCCAAGGACCTGTTTCCATTAGATCCATTGGGTTCCATGTCATGCCCTTATAGAGTCACAGACATGGGAGGTCTCTAAAAATCAGTTATCCCCAATTTTTAGAACCCATCATTTTTTCCACATTGGTAGCAGTGGACTTGCCGGGAGAATTCCCCTAGTTTCACATGGAGCACGATTCTCAGAGCATGTTACCAACAAAGCGATGGACCCTTGACGGCTCTTCTGGGATATGATGTTCTATTTACAAGGAATATGAAGGAACCGACTGTGCTAGGGAAGGAAAATGGAGTGTCCCACCTAGATCCTCATCCCTGGACTGCTGAATGATGAGATAGTAGAGAGACTCCAGTTGAGACCTGCCTTAGAGCTAAATCAATCTTAACGTCTCTGCTCCTTCAAGTTTGAGGATTTTGTAGCTATGTAAATTGGCTGCCCTACTTGTCCCTGGGGAACCCAAGGGGAATTTGGTAAGGGTCCTTCTCAAACTCACTAACCGAAACAAAGGGACTTAATTTTGAAAGTGAAAAAAGCCATCAGCTATCATGCTAGCTCCTGACTTCTGGAAGAGGTGACCCTTCCCATAAATCATAGAATTCTAGAACTGGAAGGGACCTCGAGAGGTCATCGAGTCCAGTCCCCTGCCCTCACAGCAGGACCAAGCGCCATCTAGATCATGTTTCAGGCAGTCTATGAGGAGGCATGCTATGATGCAGCAAAGCATGCAAGGAGATGTGACCATAGCACATAGAATTCATAGAACCCCAGGGCTGGAAGAGACCTCAGGAGGTCATCAAGTCCAGCCCTCTGCCCAAGACAGGACTAATCCCAACTAAATCAACCCAGCCAGGGCTTTGTGAAGCTGAGACTTAAACACCTCTAGGGATGGAGATTTCAACCCCTCCTTAGGGAACCCATTCCAGTGCTTCCCCACCCTCCTAGTGAAAACGTTTTTCCTAACAGCCAACCTAGATCTCTCCCACTAAACTTGAGCCCATTGCTCCTTGTTCTCTCATCTGTCACTACTGAGAACAGCCTCTCTCCAGCCGCTTTAGAACCTCCCTTCAGGAAGTTGAAGGCTGCTCTCAAATCCCCCCTCACTCTTCTCCTCTACAAACTAAACAAACCCAAATCCCTCAGTTCCTGCTCGTAGGTCATGTGCTCCAGCCCCCCGATCATTTTGGTTGCCCTCTGCTGGATCCTTTCCAAAGCATCTACATCCTTCTGTTGTGGGTGTCCAGAACTGGATACAATACTCCAGGGCTGGCCTCACAAGAGCCCAATAAAGGGGAATAATCACTTCTCTAGATCTGCTGGCAATGTTCCTCCTAATGCAACCTAATATGCCATTAGCTGTCTTAGCTACAGGGGTACCCTGTTCACTCATTTCCAGCTTGTCATCCACTCCAAAACTGCTAATTAACCAGCTGGTCCCCAGCTTGTAAGAATGCTTGGGATTCTTCTGTCTACACTTATCCTTGCTGACCCTCATCAGATTTCTTTTGGCACAATCCTCTAATCTATCTAGGTCAGTCTGGACCCTCTCCCTGCCCTACAGGGTAACTACCTCTCCCCCTAGCTAAGTGTCATCTGCAAACTTGCTTAGAGTGCAATCCATGCCCTCATACACATGACACGGAGCTCCATTTTGATACCTGTCTTTACCCACAAACTGGACTGGGAGCTTGAATTGGAACAAATCTTTAATGTCAAAAGTGTGGGGGGGAGCGGGGGAGCTATCTAAGGTGGGTTTGACATCACCTCTTGGCCTCACTCCCCACACAAGCTCCTGGAAAGACCTGAGGAACAAAACCTTGACTGAGAGAAGTGCTGGTCACAGGTACAAACCATTGTAGGCTGTGCATGGAAAGTTGGTGGACTGATTATATCATGAATCAGGATGAGAAACTGCTGAGTCAGATCCTATCCTCCTAGTACTTTAGACTTACTTTTCATTTTTATTATTTGCTAGATAATCTCCTTTGACCTGTTTGCTATCCCCTAGCATCACTTTGTATCTTTCTGTAGTTAATAATAAGGCTTTGTCTTAACCAGTGTGTTTGAATGAGGTGTCTGGGGAAAATCCCAGCTTGGATCACA